GCAGAAAAGCAGAGGGCAGGGGCGGGCTGGGAACCGGTGTGGGGGGGTCACAGGAACGGGGCTAGGAGGGACTGGGGGCAGAGGGGGAGCACAGGGCTGAGAGGAGCTGCCTGGCTCCATGCCCACCCCCAGGGCAGACGAAGGCCCGGCCATTGCTCAGGGGTGGGGAGAGCTGAGTGAGCGACTCGGATCTGGGCACAGGATCCAGGGCTGTCCAGCAAAGAGAGGGGCAGAGGGGCGGGAAGACGAGCGTTAGACAGGGGAGGGAAAGCACCGAATTAAGCCGGGGAGAGTCCAGTGCAGTTACAGAAGCAGATGGAGAGTTGGGAGCAAAGCTCGGGGCTCTGTGCTACAGCAGGGAGCCGGCAGGGCAGGAAGGGAGCGTGCAACGAAACCTCGTTTGCTATTTCCTAGGGGATTTACCTGTCTCGCTGGCTGGCGCCTCTTCCTCTTGGGCCCCTTCCTTTGCCTCCCCTTGCTGGTCATCTTCCTCTTCCCCGCCCTGCTTCCTGCTGCCGTCTGCCCCGGGAGCCGTGCCCGGACCGTCAGGGGCCTTGCTGCGCCGCACCGTCTCCGCTACCTGAGCCATCAGCAGTTCTGCCTGGGCAGCTCGCTCCTGCCCTGTCGCTTCCGTGTCGAGAGCGCAACGTCGGCCTTGCCACCGTCCGGGCACGTCCCCTGCGGGCGAGAGCCACTGCTCCAGGGCCCCGCTCGGCAGCTCTTCTCTCTGGGCGAACAAGACAATCGTGTTCATCGGGGCCTCCGGGCCACACGTCTCCTGGGCTCTGCTCGGTGCTGGCTGGTCTCCTTCCGTGTGCCGGCGCAGCAGGGTCACCAGCACCAGCGCGTGGGGGCCCGGCAACGACAGCTCCCTCCGGCCCCCGAGCTCACCGCGGGCGTCTTCGCCGGAGCGCTCAGTGTCAGAGGGCGCGGGCGTGCTGGTGGTCGCGCCCTCCCCTCCATTCCAGGTCCTGCCGCCGTCGCTGCAGGCCTCCGTGGCCCCGCGTACGGACTCCCATTTCTCCTGCCCAAGGGTGCTGCTTCCTGGGGCACTTTTCCCAGCTCCCATCTCACCCACAGGTTCTGACTGCCCAGGGAGGCGGCTGCCGTTGCCCGGCCCTGTCGGGAACAAGGGCGACAGAGTCAGAGCCTCAGCACCCAGGACCCAAGAGGCGGGTGAGACCAATGCTCCGGGGCTCTCCCGCGCCCTCCGTGAGCACAGAGAGGCTAGGGAGCGTGACGAGAGGGCTCTTGATCTGGCTCAGCGCCTTCCGGAGCAGCTCCGACCGCTGGTGCATTTGCTTTGTGGTTGCCCGGCCCTGTCGGGAACAAGGGCGACAGAGTCAGAGCCTCAGCACCCAGGACCCAAGAGGCGGGTGAGACCAATGCTCCGGGGCTCTCCCGCGCCCTCCGTGAGCACAGAGAGGCTAGGGAGCGTGACGAGAGGGCTCTTGATCTGGCTCAGCGCCTTCCGGAGCAGCTCCGACCGCTGGTGCATTTGCTTTGTGAGAGAAGGGAAACGGGCCACCAGGGAACGGTTCGGTTCAATGCTCCAGGGTCCCTGGTGCGGACGGGGCGAGCAAATGCGTGTGCAGGAGGGGCTCCTAACTGAAGCACCGTGGTTAGGAAAAGCCGCATCGCTGGTGCCAACGCTGCTCCCGTCTACGGCTGCGCTGGTATCCAGAGGGACTGGCAGCCACTGTGGCCTGCGTGTCCCACTCCCAGAAAGCCAGGCTGGGGGGACCAGCCAACGTGCAAGGTCCTGCTGGTGGAACGGCTCCGCGCTGGAGGGGCTAGTCGCAGTGCGGGCGAGGATGGCCGGCCCTCCGCGCGCTCACAATCCGTAATGAGGGCGGGAGACGGCGAGGATGGAAAAGCCGCCCATCCATTCTGCATTGAGCGTCAGCTCCACTGGGGCCCTAACGAGGACCAGACAACGGGGAGCGGCTGGCAGCTCCCCTGCTCTGTGCCCAGCTGACGCTCTGAGTCTGTCACTGTCGGGCATGTTTCCCGAGCCGTTAATCGCTCTCATGGCTCTTCTTTGAACCCTCGTCCGTTTGCCACCCTCCTTCCTGAATCGGGGCCCGGAGCAGGGCCCAGTGCTGCAGCATGGACAGGGACATTTCGAGGCCCGTCAGCCGGCCAGCGTTTAGCCCTCGCGCCGGGTGCCCTGCTCTGTTTGTGGTGTTCTGGGGAGCTGTGGCAGCGCAGACGGCCTCCGAGCGCTCAGAGCCGGTGGGATTACGCTGAGCTAGTAGCTGACCGCCTGCACCCGGAGAGTTTGATCTCCCGTAGAGAGCAACAGCAGAGACTCTGTAGAGTCCTATCCACCTCCTCTGGGCTGATAGGCAACAGAAAGTCCGGCAGAGAAAGCCTGATGGGACCGGATCTCTGCTGAGCCACTCGGGACGCAGGCGGCAGATATTCCTCGCTGTCCTCCAAGCAGAGGAATCAGCTGACTGTCTAGACGAGGAATGGGGAGCTGCCAACGGTAATGAGCCCTCAGCCTTCTGTTCGGTAACGAGACCGACATGTTTAGCGAAGGACACAGAGGAGCTCACGCACACGCTCACGCACACGCACATGCACACGCTCATGCACACGCACACGCTCACGCACACGCACACACTCAGGCTCACGCACACGTTCACGCACACGCACACGCTCACGCTCACGCACACACTCACGCACACGCACACGCACACGCTCAGGCTCAGGCTCAGGCTCACGCACACGCACACGCTCAGGCTCACGCACACGCTCACGCACACGCACACAGGCCCACTACATTGTAGGGTTACTAACTGGGGACATCTCTTTGCATCACGCTCACGCTCACGCACACGCACACGCTCACGCACACGCACACAGGCCCACTACATTGTAGGGTTACTAACTGGGGACATCTCTTTGCAAGAACCTCAGGGGGGAGGAATGAGTTTATGGGGGCGTGTGCACACGCTCATGCACACGCACACGCTCACGCACACGCACACAGGCCCACTACATTGTAGGGTTACTAACTGGGGACATCTCTTTGCAAGAACCTCAGGGGGGAGGAATGAGTTTATGGGGGCGTGTAAATATCCCGAAACTGTCCATCGTACCGTGCAGGGGGAGGCACCAGTCGCAGGGCTGGTGGCAGGCGGCATGGGCAGGAACACTGGCACGGCTGCTACGGGCCAGCTTTGTTTCCCGTTTCGATCTTGCGTCATTTCTTGCTGTTTGCTTTGCAGGGGTCCCGAAGGAGAAGAGCTTCGGGGAGGGAGCCAAGGGAATGAGTCTTGGGAGAGGAAACTAGACCCTGACGGCAGCAGCCCAGGTTCCTAGCAGCCGGCCCCAGACACCGGAGCAGCAGGAGACAAAGGGGCGCTGGGACACTGCGCTCAGAAGCGGGTGGATGGGAGCAGGTTCAGGGCCGAAAGGGGGGCGGGTCAGAAATTCAAGCGGAAGAGGACAAAGCCGGGTAGGAGAGGGCAGCCAGGGGAGGGAGGCAGGGCGATGAGATTGTCTTTGGAGCCGCCAGCGCTGGGGCAGGTCAGCAGCCCTCCCGCTCGGGCTGGAAGCGGCCAGCAGAGCCCACGGCGCCTTGGGGCAGGGCCAGGCCACTGGGAATTGCTTTTCCCCTCCCACCCCCTGAGCTGGAGCCTGCGCCTCCTCCTCTGGCTGGGGCGTCATGCCCTGGCCCTGCCCTGGCTGGTTGCTGTCTCTGGTCGAGCGAAGTCCCGTCTGACGGGGGGTTGGAGCCGTCCTGGACTCTGCTTTGCCCTGCCGTGGCCAGAGGGCCCGGGGCGCGCCGAAAGGCTCCCCGCGATTGAGTTCAGTGGCAGAGGGGTCCCGTCCTGGATCTGCTTTGCCCTGCCGTGGCCAGAGGGCCCGGGGCGCGCCGAAAGGCTCCCCGCGATTGAGTTCAGTGGGAGAGGGGTCAGGGCGATAGCTCAGCAAGTGCCCCCCCCCCCGCCTGGCTACTCCACGGTGCCAGAGCTTCCCCTGGACTCGGCGAGGAGATTTACCCTGCGGCTGGCCGGGCGTGGTGGGGAGCGACTCCCTGGAAGACATTGTATCCGGCCGCGTGGCCAGCCCCCGGCGCGCCCCACGATCTCCCTGGGTTCCTGAGGAAAGAACGAGGAGAACGGCGTTACACGCAGCCCTGGCAACGGCCTGGCCAGAGCAGCGTGGGGTTAGTCGGGGGGTAAGGGGATGGGTGTGGG